GGGGCTCTGTTGTCTTTCCCTTTGCCCCTCAGGCCCCATCCTGAGCACCTTGATTTCTAAGCCCTACAAACCTAAATGGAAACGTAAACATTCATCCTTTAAAAAAAAGAGGAAAGGGAGCGAATGTGTCAGACTTTCCTGGCCTGCTCTGCTCTTCTGTGATCAGATCACAGTTATTCCTGTCAGCTGCAGCTCCCTGGCATTTCCTCCTCAGGGGACACTGAGCTGAAACACACTCGGCCTTTCGTGGCGGCGACGCTCAGACCCCCTTCCACGCTCTCTCTTCTCCGTCCTGGATGATTAACCGCGAAGTACACCACTGGCCGCAGTCCCTCCCCGTCAGACTAGGCTCGCCTCAGACCCTGATTCATTAGCAAGCAGACCTCGCTGGGGATCCTGCTCTGGGAGGGACCAGCTTCACTGGGAGTCGGAGAGGTGGATTCCCAGAAAGGCCCTCGTTTTCTGGAACTGGCTCAGCACAATTCCGAGGGTCAGGGAGGGTCGCCTTTGTTTTACCCTCAGGTCTGGGCAGGGAAAAGGCTGTGCTTTTCTCTCTCACTCCTTCCCCAGCCTGTGGGACTCGGGTTCACATTCTTGGGAGCTGTGTCATGACAAGTCCCGTAAATGATTCCCACTGACGCGGCCTTTAGTGGAGTGTAGGGATCGGCTGGATTTCAGGAGCCCAGAGCAGTGCTGAGGCCAGACTTCCCGGCCCAGCGGCTCCAGCAGAGCTCAGGCTCCCTCCCTGGCCGCGGTCCTGGTCATGTGATGCAGGAGGGACTTCAACCGGGCAGCCAGGGCAGGCAGGATTTCCATGTGTGATTTATACCTTGCAGATTGTTACAGGATTAAGCTTCCTAAAATGAAAATGAGATTAATGGGCAACTTACAGGGTTGGTGGAAGGGGTGAGTGTTTTAAAGAAGTAACCTGGTTTATTTTAACACATCAGTGTGTTTTTTAAAAATTTTCTACTCTATGTTTGTGGCATTGAGTGCCACAAACAGTTATCTTAGCCCAAAAACTGCTTTGTCCTTAGTGACCAAGGAGCAGGAAAACGTTGCCCAGTGCTTTCTGCATCACCGCTGGGTACTGTTGTGCCATCGCTGATCTGAACCAGACTCCGTTCCCTTTTCAGCAGCGTTTTTAAAATGCTGTCTTTTCCTCCTGTTTCCAGAAATGAAAATGACCCTCCCGGTCGCCCCATCCTGTCATCTCTCTCCACCCTGTTCTGCTACCACCAAGGGACAGTTGTGAAGGGCTCGTTTTTGATCCCCATGGTGAGGGTTCCACGGGCCGCCCTCATGTACATCTCCAACACCCTGAAAGACAAGGTGAGGCCAAGGTCAGCGGGTTCCAGGATAGGAGTGGGCCTGTGACGGTGGCTGTTCAGAAGGCCACCACCACCCCTACCCCACCCTCACCCCCT